GGACAGTTGTGTTTTATGTTGACGTCACATAAGCTAAAGTCATCTGAGAGTAAGGACCCTCAGATAAGAAAATGCCTCCATAAGATGGAGCTATAGGTGAGCCTGTAGGGTATTTTTATAACTAGTAATCGATGGGGTAGGGCCCAGTCCATTGTGGAGGGGGGCTACCCCGGGCTGGTGGTCCTAAGTTTCATAGAAAGGAAGTTGAGCAAGCCATGGAGAGTAAGCGGGTAAGCAGCACCCCTCCATGACCTCTGCATCAGCTCCTGTCTCCAGGTACCTGCCCTCACTTCCTTTAATGATGGACTATAATGTGGAAGTGTAAGCCAAATAAACCCTTTCTTTCCAAACTTGCTTTTGGTCATAGTGTTTATTACAGCAATAGAAACCCTGACTAAGACAATCAGTTATGTATATTTTTCTTTCTTACTAATGCAGACTACTGGATAAAGCCTGGGGACCGTGTGACAATGGAAGCATCTTGTCAGGATTGTTACCTGAGAATCCAGAGCATCAATATCTTGCATTTGGAACACGCAATGGAAGTTATACACAATTGTACCGAGAGTCGAGACTCCCTCTCTCGAGGGAATGAGGCTGAGCTCTGCAGTGCTCTAGCTAACCTTCAGACCAGTAGAGCTGACGCTCTGGGGCAGACCTGTGTGTTAGAACCTACAGAGATTGCTTTGCTCAATAACCTTCCCTATCATGAAGGCTTTAAGATGGCGATGAGGAAGGTGTTGTCTTCACTGGCCCCAGAGAAGCTGTGCCAGCCCGTGGATCCTCCCTGTCAGGATACTGAGATGAACTCTGCAAGTGGACAGAGCGCAGCTGCGCCGAGCACCTCTGACCCTTTCTATGTGTTGGATGTGTCTGAAGGCTTCTCTCTTTTGCCTGTAATTGCTGGAACACTTGGTGAGGTTAAGCCCTACAGTTCTGTGGAGAAAGACCAGCATTGTGTCACTTTGGACCTCATATCTGAAGCCAATCACTTCCCTAAGGAAACACTTGAGTTTTGGCTGAGACATATAGAGGATGAAGCTGCTGTGTTGCAAAGGCCCAAGTCAGACAAATTGTGGAGCATAATTATATTAGATGTCATTGAGCCATCTGGGCTCATTCAGCAGGAAATAATGGAAAAAGCTGCAATATCCAGGTAAAACAAAAACCCTAACATTGAATGGGGGATTTGGGGTTCAGAAGTCACTTTTTCAGTTTTGTGAGTGATGGGGTAAGATGATTGATTGTCTTACTGTCCGTCTGTTCCTGACATAGGAGTTTGTTCTGCTGAGGGCTTCTGACAGGTCTGGGGAGAGGCTAGTTGCCAGGTTAGATTTTCCTCTTCTGAAATGGAGTTAATGACCAGCGACTAAGACCTCGGGGAGCTGTGTGCCCCTCTCCCATGAGGAGCTCTTTCTCCTCTCCCCCACCTTTTGCTCCGGTGCTCCTGATGGCAGCTCTGCAGGGACTTACCCTGCACTCTACCAAGCAGTTCGTTCCCCAGGTTCCCCAGCAGACAACAACTGGGCCTTGTTTAGTTCTGTTCAGTTCTGGTCCTGCTCTCTGGAGGTAGGCAGAACCTACAGGACAGCCACAACTTCAGAAGTCAGATGTACCTCGTAGGTTGTCATCTGTACTTCTAAACCACCAGGTACAAATTGAAGGTCCCCTCAGTTTATAAAGCCCTCTTCAGATTTGGATGGATTTGCTGTAGCAGCTCCAGGACGTAGGAAAATGATTGGCTTAGATTAACCTACTTATTCTAGGGGTGCAGACGAGGAACCGGGAGAGCTGCAGAGGGTGCGGCACATGGAAGGTGCAGAGTGTGCATGGTCTTCCTGGACATGCTGAGCTGCACAGAGTGTGCATGGTCTTCCTGGACATGCTG